TCCGAGCCAGATGCAGCTAAGCAGTGCGAACTTGGAACGCACTCCGTTTTCTCACACAAGCAGAAAACCACCAACAAAACTCTCGCAACAGATACCAAATACCTTCTGCCAAAATTACGGCTTTGAAGAAACATGTCACCTCCATTTCCGTTTGTTTTCCAAATTTCTGTAAGCAATTTTGCTATTTGCTGTAACTCGTTTCCCGACAGTCACTTGACTCGATTCCTTGACTAAAATCTGCACCACTGGAGCCTCTTTCAACGTTCATTCAACAAATGTCCACGTCCCAAATCAAAACTATGTTAATATTTTCCTTGGAATCTCCATTGTTTCATTTTTAGTTTATTTTGGTCTCAAGTACTTTTAAATCCTAAAATGTTCATGATATATTTGCATCTAATACTTTAATGTCCAACGTGGCCATCAAATGTTCTCCTAGCAAATGTAACATGTTGTTCCCGTATTGTCATTACCAGGTACCAATATTTTGAAATTAGATATTATTTCACACTAGTTTACTCAATATTTTCCTTCAGATTTCTGGATGTGTCGCAGTATACGTACCAAGGACTCGGAGAGACATAATCATAATCTACGCTCATGTATTTGTGATATATATCTCAGTTAATATTTGGAGAATACATGCATATCAAAGCAGACCACATATGTGTTATTCTGACATATGGTTAGGAAAAAGGAACCTTCAATATTGAATGGGAAGGGAGTTGCTAAGAGAAAATTGTCGACTTAAAGTACTCAAAGTTATGACTTACCAACATCTCTCCCTCACTGATAGTATGAATAATTAAAAATCTATCTTTAGCTACTTTTGGTATTTTATTTGCGTTTGTTTCCTAATGTTATTATAAAATAAAATTAAATTCTGAAAAGTTTAAAATTATTTTCTGCTTTAGATGTGGTGCCTGGTGTGTTTACGGCAGATTTTCCACAAATGTGCATGGAATTTGGCGCGACTGTCATTCCAGAGATCATGATCCGAGAACTTTCTGGAAAAATTGTGCCAATTCGTCCAACATCCAAGGAGGTAAGTGATATACCTTTCTTCAAATTGCAACAGGTCATCAGCACACGACAGTTCAAAAGGTGACTTACATGATGGCCATGACATTCTTTGTACGCTCATGGGCAACACTACATGAACTTCCACTTCTTGCGAACAATAACTACAACTTGGTCACTAGTTACCTAGATGCTGATGCGACCTTAAATAAGAAAAAACAACAACAAAAAAATACAACTGGTAGAAATGGCGGCACACTCACTCTCACACATAAAACTTCACAAATTTCTAAAGAATTTTTAAGTTTAGAGAACTACCAACTACCAACAAACGAATGAAGGAAGGGAAGTCCAATGTGCCGAATGAGTTAACGACTACAGAACCTTCAGTTATGTTGCCAGCACTAGTCTGTCAAAACGGTCCTTATAAAAATCGCTATATAAGTGACTCATTTTAAATATTATCCAACTGCAAACGGACGAATGAAGGAAGGGGAGTCCAATGTGTCGAATGACTTAACGACCAGACAACCTTCAGTTATGTTGTCAGCATTAGCCTGTCAAAACAGTGCTTTCTTATAAAAATCGCTATATGAGTGACTCATTTTAAAAGTTGGCCAACTGCAAACGAACGAATGAAGGAAGGGGAGTCAAATGGATCGAAGGACACAACGACCACAGAACCTTCAGTTATGTTGCCAGTACTAGTCTGTGAAAACGGTGCTTTCTTATAAAAATCGCTATATGAGTGACTCATTTTACAAGTTAGTCAACTGCAAACGAACAAATGAAGGATGGAGAGCCAAATGTGCCGGAGGACACAACAGCCACGGAACCTTCTTTTGCCAACACTACTCTGGCAAGACGGTGCTTTCCTATAAAACTCGCTCTATGAATGGCTCCTTTTAGGCCGCGGGCCGCGTCCGCGAGCGCTGGCGGGCGGCGCGCCGGCGCAAGGTGCGCGTTGTGTGCGCGCGCGCGCAATGGCGTGTGCGTGGCGCGTGCGTGTGCGGCAGAAGGGGCGCGAGAGCGAGGAGCGGCGGCCGCGCAAGTCGCGCGCCTTTTCGCTGTCGCCCGGGCGTGCGTCGCAGATGGCGCTGGAGCACCTGGCGGCGGCGGCGGCGGCGCCCGGCGGCCCGGGCCCGCCCGACGCCCACGCCCACGCCCACCGGCCCAGCACCGCCGCCTTCTTCGAGGTCTCGGAGGAGACGGAGACGTGAGAGCCACCGAGCCCTTCACTCTGGAATGCAGTCTTGGGGCTTTTTGTTTTAAAACATTTTTATTTGTTCTAGATGGAATACATCAATTAGTATACTTAATTTACAGATTTTTTTGAGACTTACGCTAGTTAAAATATCTAGGCAAACGTAATCCATACGTAGGAGAAGATACTCTAGAGGAGAACCTCGGGATTGTGTTTAATGGTTGGCTAAGATTTTGAGAAAGGCTTCAAACGGGAATCTATTTTTTTGTTCGGGTGTGTGGGTTTTTCGCTAGTTTGAAATGGAATTCTGATATGGATGTTTGATAGGTTTTTTGTAGAAATTGTGATATATGGGCTATTTGGTTTATTATTGTATTGATGTTTAATTTGCAATGGAGTTGTTTATTATTTATGAACCAGGGGGCATGTCAAATTAATATGATGCATTAGTGTTGAATTACTTTGATTTTATTGACGTTTATGGGGGTTGCTTTTGCCCATATTGGGCATGCATAGAGATTAGTGGCCTTATTATATCTTTATAAATTTTTGTAGAATTTGTGTATGACAGGTTTGTGTTTGTTGTGGCTTGAGGCGTGTTTGAAGCACCTCTTGGCTAGTTGTTGAAGCAAAATAGAGTGGTATTTAAAGGGCCACCAACATTTCATTTTCTAGTTACATAGGCATACAAAAAAAAAACTCATACCCAATGACTTGACACATGTTTCTTTGCGAACGTTGACGGGCTAAAGACAGAATTGCGCCACCTCTTTCCAGCGAGAAATCACGGTGAAATTTACAATGTTCAATATGTCATGCTGTTTTTCGCTTTTTTTTTAACTGGAGGGTAATGGCGCAATTATTGCTGCACATTCCGATTCGGTCGCTCGACAACAGACATAGATAAACATATTGTGTCATGTCTTTGGGTCTGCCAACACCCCCCAAAACAACACAAAAATACAATAGCACGTGGTTTTTGTTGGTGGCAAAATTAAGGAATCAAATTCGGATTCAGCGCGTTGACATACACAGAGAAACATGATTCGAGTCTTTGGGTGTGACAACTTTGTTTATGTGTGCCTGTGTTACGAACTCCCTTTTATTTCGCCATCCAATAAAAGCGATTATGGCTTAAAAAAATTGTTTGAATTTTCGAACATTGTTTAATCTTTGATTTATAATACAGGCCTGCTCCATCAACGAATTTTGTGATTGTCTCATTTGAAGATGAGAAGAAAAGGGAAAACCTTAAATCCATTACATTCAAAGGTGATTCATTAAATACGTATATTGAACAGGCATTAATTTATTTTGTGTAATCACAATAATTTTGCTCTTCTCAAATGTCTGGCGTTGTGTTTTATTTTGTAATGGATAAGCAATGAAAACTTAGTTCCTTTAAATTTCTTCAATTGGGTACTTTAAACATTAGTTTCAACATCTCTTCAAAGTGTTTATTTCTATTTTCTTGACAGTTTAATTTTCAATTATATTACGAGTCTATTAGACTTGTAAGTTACTTAAATCATCTTAGAACGGTACATTATAAAATTAAGAACTCACTTCTTTTTGCTGAACGTACTCCGCTACACAAATCATTAATTATCTATCAATTCATGAGAAACATTTAGGGGTAATTATATTATTTAATGTACACAACACAAAAAATATAAGGGAAGTTAATTTTATTGACTCGATAAATATGACCATAAATCGAAAATAAATCGAAACAATGTTGCGGGTATACGTCCCTAATTTTTTGACTAAATTAGTATCTACAATATTAATGAGTGTTTCTATTTCACTTTCAAAATTGTTTCTGCCTCGCTATCTACGGGGTCAGAGAGGTCTATTTGAAGCACGCATGTATTTTCCTTCAGAACGTATTTACTCTTGAGTTTACATAATGTTTGCACCAAGCAAATTTCTCAAGTTATTCCGATATTTATGTTTAAACAATTCATCTGATAAACACTCGTACTAGAACAATATTAGGGAAGATTTTCATGAAGTGATTAATGTGCTAGCTTTCTCCTTTGGGTAACCGGGCTCTCTTTGAAGTGTTTCGTTGTGACTACTGGAAATGTGTTAGATAAATTGTGTTCTCGACAGGTTTCTTGGTGTTACCCTATTCCCTCATACCTCTTGCCGTGATTCTAAAATTCATCATGGTCATAATCAGCACACTATTCTTGAAAATCTGACAAATAAAAACGCAAAAAACTACGGAAGAACGAGTTGTATTTGAGTAAAAATTATGTAAAATGAGCCAAATGATTAAAGTTGGTTACTACTTGATTTATTCCAGGTTTTTCGATCGAAGATGCGCATGTGAGAGCCCTACACAAAGGCTTACAACTTTGCCAAGGCCTCACCTCCATTACGTTTAAGCAATCCCAATTGGCTGACCTACAGATTCCAATGCTTGCAGAGACATTGCGTGAACGTGGAACAAATTTAGTTGAAATATGTGTGGAAGATAACCCTTCCCAAGCTCACAATTATTACCTGATACTGCGTGAATGTAAGAAGTAAGTACAATGTTGAATGAACAATGCTGAATATTGTTCATTCTTCTAACCAATATTATTTCATTTATTTATTGTTTTTACAGGCTTCAAGCTTTATTTTTACGTGGCTGCAAGATAGATAATGCGGGTACGAAGCTACTGGCAGATGAACTTACTTACTCTGAGGAAAATGCACAAACATCTTTGCTGTATCTCAATCTCAGTAAAAATATGATTGATGACGAAGGAGCTTCAGCTCTTGCTAAAGTAAGCCATTCAAAAATAATGCTGCATATCTCAGATCATGAAATTGATCATATCAAATGTTTCTATTGCGAGTACGTAGGTCGCGTAGGTATTGACATATTTTTATTATTTTTTTTACTTTGCCCTTATTGTAACTCGAACGATGTTTTAAAGCAGTGACCTCTTTTAAAAATGTATTATGTGATTTTAACGATCAATCATTTACAATTTAATAATTGATTTTTCACCCGGAACGTTATAATCCTCAAATGATAGCATAACGGAGAGCAGTCTCTCACATCTAAATTGATATAAAATGAAAGATAGACAATTCCAAGAAGGTAAGTGTTCAGCAGCACATATATTTGTGACAATTTTCCCTCTTTATGAAGCTGTAAGAGATACCAACGAGCAAATCTCTTACGATATTTTACAGGCAATCATGACATTAATATTTATAATTAAGAATAATATTTTTAGCTTTGATAGAATAGTCGAAATGAATCAAAAATGCTTTATAACAAATAACTTATTACTGTCATCATCAAACAAAAAAAAATCAATATTACAAGTTTGTATTCAGCATTTTGTATTTTTCATGCTTAAGTGGTAATTTCGTCGTAGCTAAGGAAATTACATTATCAGCCCTACAAGAAATGATAATACTGGTATCCAAATCGAATATATTTGTCTAATTGTTTTAGATTTATACTTCACATTGCCATACATCGACAACAAACATTTTCAAAATAAAAGGTAAAGATACTTGAACTGTGTGTAATAGTTCATCATTCTGGCAACTACTCTTTACATTTACGCGCTACGGTTCGAATTGCGCATTCTTATTGGAGGTCCTCACCCCTAGAATGAGTCTCATCCCCACCCATTCACGCGGCCAGGGTTTGTAGTTGCTCGCGCGCGGCTTCCAAGATCAGTTGAAGTGCAAAATGCTGTGCAGGTCTACTCAAAGGATAATTTGAATAACTGAAATTAAATTAGAATTTTAAAATACAACACCATTGCGATTCTTTAACAGTATCAATATAAAGAAAGTCACTGGGAATTTGTGGAAGCTGTCTACTTTCTCAATTGCACTCCTATAAATGTAAGAATAATTGAATAAACCAAAACGTTTTCATTTTAAATGCTATTGGCTCTTTCTCTCAATGTTTTGAGATAATTTTCAATTCAACTCAAGGCATGTGAAAATGGATAGTGAGGGAGGGGAATGGAAGGGAGAAATATTTTGATAATCCGAAAAAGAATTTCATATAATTTAATAACTATATGAACATTTAGTTTTAATACAAACTATAAGTTAAAAATGTTAATGATTTTTTTAGCACACGACCTTTTAAAAGAAAAATTATATTATTCATAGAAAGAAATGATAGTATGGCTAATTTGAATTTTGGTAAAATATGGGAAAAAACTATGAATAGATTTGAATATGAGGGGAAAACATAAAGAAACTGACGTGCAGAAACGATGCGTTTCTCACAGGAGGGGACATTTTTGTTCATATAATAAAGGAGAAAACAGTGGTATTTTCCCCCACCATAATGACTCATCCTGTGTGTATAATTAGGATTTTGTACAATTATTGCACTTTTCAGAAGCGCATTTGTATAGAGAAACATAAAAACGAAAAATCTAAAGTGACATTTATACTTCCAGGCACTACGAACCAATCGAGAACTCATTTGTCTTACGTTGAGTGGGAATGTTATTGGTGACGATGGTGCAATTTATTTGGCGGACGCATTGACCAAGTTTCAATTGGTAGACGAGGAAATAAAACAGAGGAGGATAGTCATTAAACAGCGAATTCAAGCATTCCGAAAACTGGTAAAGTAAGAATTGTTCATATAATGGCAATGATTTGTAAGTAGACTTTTATACTCAGAGGTAGAAAAAATTTAATTAAACCAAATCAGACCCGGATTTCAATGTAAATTAGGTCCATGCAAACGTCGTTAGGTCTGGTTTTGATAGAAAACGCTTCGTTTCATAAATATAAAATGTTTAAAGCACAAGTTTGGACTGGAAAAAAAAGTTACAATATTTTTAGACGGCAATGTTACTCGTATTTCATTATATTTCAAAATGATACTTGAGCGTATTTTCGATAATTAACTATTTCCAACAGTGCAATTCTTTTAAATATTAATGTTGTTAAGTTTGTAAAATTTCAGAAAACGTTTTTACTTGGAAAATAAGTTATAAAGAATTGTTTTTCATCAACAGAAGTTTATATGTTACGCAAATGTCCAAATCTCGAGGATTGTCGAACTAGCCTGTTAATGTTCACTAGTATCGGCTAGAACTGCTTCAAAATGTTTGAAACTTAAGATAGCTGAAGTTGCCATCGACCATCAGGCGGCACATCAGGTAGCTAGAGTGCGTGAATTACACGTAACATAAAATTTCAAACATAATTCAGCAATTCGTGGAAGAATGAACTATTTCAGGCATGAGGAGGTTTAAGAATAAAGTTGTGTCAGAATGATTCGTCGCAAATCCGTGGCTAAGGGCCTGAATTCACTGCTTCAAACATAGGATTGTACATTTTTCAGCTAATGCAATTCTGGCCATTTTTTTAAGGGAATCCAGATTTGCATGTATAAATGAAGACAATTTTTTTAGATCAATACACTTCTGCCTATCTGCCCTCCCATCACCTTTAAGACTTCCTAGTCTTTCCTAGTTGTGAGAATGATTGGTCACTTTCTGTGCATTATCCATTCTATTCAGTGTCGGCTCGAGAGTTAAAATGTATCTTCGGCTGTCAGATAAATAATTTCTTGTTTTCGGGAGAGTTAAGTGCTGTGATAATTAGTGCGGTAAGTGTGCTGTATGTTTTTACCGTGGGAAGTGGCGATGTTGTGTTCCGTTGGATGTAACGTTCTGACACCGACCTACACGTCACCTTCGATGATTTCCCCATCCAGGTATTTTCCACCATCGCGGCACTACCCCAGCCGGGACAAACTATAAGCTCCTGACTGCTCTCCCAGCATATTTGATAGTGTGGTGCGTATTAGTGTGTGAGTGTGTGTATGTAAGTAACAAAGGGATGAGAATACGATAAGGAGAGGTAGGAAAGATCGTATGCTCCTCGTGATCCGTCTGTTAGGGTACTGCTCCGGCGTTCGACTGGTGTTAATCGGAAAAACCATGGAAAACTACCGATCAGAGCAGCCGGCCGCAAGAATTCGCCTTCAGACAGGGCCTGAATTCGACCTACTATCTGTCGAAAATCCTGCCACAATCGGGGCTCAAACCCAGGTCAGAGGCAGTGCAGTCACATTAGCTCACGCTTGAGCCACCTCTGCCGATTCCCCTTTTTAAGGTATAGCCTTGACGTATCTCCGTCTTTCTTGTGGGGAGCTTCCGAAGTACCCGGCGGGGTCATCTTAGTTAAGTTAGCCGACATCTGTTAGTGAATAGAGGGCAAGAATCCAGGCATTTAGGATGATATTTGGTGGTAAGTTCTATCACATCATAACTTAAGAGGTCACAACTTAAAGGGAATTAGGAACAATTACTGACCGAATTCAATGCTCCTGTGGCTCCCATCCTGACCCAGAAATGGTTGAAGGGGGAACCAACCATGCCACAACACGTAGCCAATCAAGATGCAATCCGTGTCCAAGCGGGGCAAGAACGCGCGTTTCCGCGCTCCCTACAACTCCATGTCAAAGCGACCATGTACTTTGGGATCGACCAGAATAGGAAATGTAATACTATAAACTACCGGGAGAGTGGGTGGAGGGCTTCAACTGATGTCACTGCAGTGCCTCTGACCGAGAGGTTCCAGTCCA